AAGAAAGGGATCAGAGCTTTTCCGATTCTTCCCTGGTTATTAACTACCATTTGTCCCCTCAGAGGGGCTGTCCCTCCCATTAACCCAACTGATGCTCTTTTCTCATGGAAATCAGCCTGCTGTTGCTGCCGCCGCCACCGTCTCTGCTGCCACTACCACCGCTGCCGCTGCCCACAGAGGTGCAAGGAATTGTGGGGGATTTTCAGAGGAGAAGACCTCCCTCCAACTCAAAAACAGCTCTCTCTCTCTCTCTCTCTCTCTCTCTCTCTCTCTCTCTGTAGCAAACACACAAGCTTGCACACCCGCACACACACATACGCACGCACACATCTACCGTCTCAAAAAAAGGCATGTGTGCGAGCTCTCACAGACAGACACATTCACTCAATCACAAAGGCAAACATGAAACGTGCTGCCTCCAACCACAGGGGCATGGAAGTAATGTAAGGCAATGCATGGAAGTTAATGAGAAGAAGCTGGCTCAAGGACCCTGGCGCAAAATATTTTGGAGAGCGGAGCAGCTAAGAATGCTTGGGCACCAGAATAACACGAATCATCAGGAGTTTATGACTGAGAAAAAAAGATGCAGAAGAGGTAGTGACTCCTGATTTTAATGAGCATAATCATAAACAGATAAAGAAAAAATAGCAGAAATGTAAGTTTGCATGCTAATTCCTGCACCGTTCAATTTTTTTCGGACTATCGACAAATTCACCTCTGATCTTTAAAAACTTTTAAAGTCCATCAAAACAAGCTATGTCACATCTGTCACTGCACCTAAAAGCAGGTGCACTAGAATAACAACTGGAGAAATCTCTGGAGGGACACAAATCTTCTAAAGCCTAAAGCAGCAGCTCCATCACTAACAGCGCTCTTATAGTGAGAGGGTGGAAAACATCAACACATGGGTCTCGACTTGCACTTCAACTGGAAGCAACAAAGCCATTGTCTCGTGACAAACTCACTTCCATTTCCTTATTATGTAGCTGGAGGCCTGGATGAAGCACGTTTGTCTCAAAAATGCTGCAGCAGAAAATGCGTGGTGGGGGAAAACCACCTAAACTCGCACTTACCAGACCAGATCTGCAACTTATACATTGATCTTTTTCAGGTACTGGGGAATGTTTAAGGTTTATAGACCTATATATAGCCTATATACATACATATACGTATACACACACATATATAATCATGTATGTCATTAGTGTTGCAGCCATGTAATTACTGCTGCCTTGATAATTTACCTCTTTTTTAATTTTATTTAACAAAAACATCACCAATTTCTTTTCTACACAAATCATCTAGTACATCCTACATAATATCTCATATAATTGTCTCATAAAATTGCTGTCAGTGAAATAAAGAGCGCTGCTAATGTTCACTCTGCTATTACAGAAGGATATTTGTACCCTGTGAAACCTAATAGGCCATCAGACCCTTACAGGTAGAATCTAGATATAATCTCAGTTGGGTGATCGACAAAGAAATTAATCAGCAGCTGCTGTAGTTTGAAAACTTTTTCAAAGTCATTTTCAAGCAAAAATACCAAACAATCCCAGCCTGTCAGTTTTGGTGTTTTTCTCTAATATATGATACTTAATCAATAATGTTGGCGTTTGTGGATTATTGATTGGACAAAACAAGTTATCTTCAATTATCAACTTTGGCTTAAGGAAACTGAAACAGTTCTCTGCTCTTTTTGTCAGTTCTTTTAATATAAGAACTGTCAGATTCAATGACAGTGAAAATAATAGTTTGCTGCTGCCTTTGTTAATTCTCTGTTCAGCAGTGGAGAGCTTCGTACATGTGTAACTCCTGTACACCACAGGATGTCTGCCTGTAGCTTATAGCTTACATATGAAACATTTAAATATCACAAGGTGCTGTTGTGAGTGCAGCCTCCCTGTTCAACAGCAAAACAAACTGCAGTAATCCTGTAATAAATTATACAATGTCACTGCAGGGACAATAATGACCATTATAGCTGGTGAAAGCACAGAAAAACATCTCAGTGTGAACTCATGATCAGTCCCTATTGGAGCAGTGTTTCTCTGCTGCAGAATATTCGTTAGTTCAACAGTTGTTTTTGCTTCTTTCCACAAACCTGATTGAGAACAAATGTGTGAAGAGTGGAAGCCTTCAGCCAAGTCAGCTATCAATAACAAGTGCATAAACTGAACCCCCACATTGTGACCCCTACCCCCCTCCTTTTGGTGGGGGTCTTGGTTGTTATTTACCCGCTTCCAAGGAAAAGCACACACTCTCTCTCTCTCTCATGGAGACACACAACATCCGATCAGCGACAAACATGACATAAGCCTTGTAGATAACCCAGTGAGGAGGCCAAACACACATGCAGTCAGCAGCGACGGCTTCACGGTCGTAGAGTACGACTGAATATCAGCCACAAAACTCATTTAAATAATGAAACCGTGTGATGCACAAACAGAAAACAGCCTCCACATTACAGCAACTTTCACCAGAGTTTTCTCCTCCCGCAAACAAACACACACCGTGGGACGTTCCCTCTGTCTCCCTCTTCTCTGCAGCTTCATGCCACACTTGATAAATATTTCGGAAATTGCTTAAAACTCACCAGATCGCCGAAAACTTGCAAAGAACATCAAACGTCAACAGCGACGGGCCGCTGGACGGAGTGCGCCGTGTTTCACAGCTTCACTCATCCGCGTTTGCAACATATTTATCGAGCAAAAAAAGCCTCGAGGAGCCGAGGAGGCGATCGCGTAATTAAAAATTAAATACCCAGGTCCCTCCACGCTGCCGCAAAAAATAAGCAAAATTACGCAAAGTCCGATTGCGCGATGGTAACAACACATTCACAACAATTCAAGTGTCACGCACATCGATGTGTCAGTGAGCGCGAGCCGAGAGTTGGTATAAAGTTGGTAAAGTTGTTGAAAAGACACACATGCACACATCAGGACGTGCAGCCACATTATGAGGTCTTGCAGAAAAAAAACGAGCAGTTAACCCACCTAAAAGTTTCCAGCACCGCATTAGTCAATTTCACATGGAGCCCCGGTAACCTTCCATCCCGGACCGGACCAGAAACCCGCAGTGGGAGAGCCCACGCCACCGCTCCCCGCTCCTTTCTCCGCTCGATCTGTTCTTTTATGATTTTTTTCCGATTTTTTTTCAATAATTTTTCTATATTCGGGGCCTGAGAGTGTGTCTGGCTCTCCTCAGGCTGCAGCGGAGTTATGGGGCGGTAAGCATTGTGGGAGTGTGACGTCAGGCCACTTTCACAAACTTTTTTTTTTTTTTTTTTTTTTTTTTTTTTCAAGCAGGGACAGCTTACTGGTTTTTCAGCAGCCTGCAACCAGTCCTCCCAGTCACAAGCAGTTGATTCAGTTATTACACCTGCAGTCCCGCATAGATATTCTGTTTATTCAGATTATCAATAAACATTTAGCGGGTTTTTTTTTAAACAACTCTTATTATCTTGCCTGTAACGGAGCCAAAGTTTGACATATGACATATTAACATCCGATATTTGGATGTATTTCATAGTTGCCTATAGCTACATTTCAATACAACATTATGTAGCCTGCTCATTGAAAATATTTTACTGTTTCTAATGACTTTTGAGGTTTACTGCAGTTATTAAATATAAGAAAAAATATTTTTAAATCGTAATACTGATAGAATAAGATTATCCTTATTTGTTTGGTTTGTCATCCTTTAAAAGTGAATAGGAAATGAGAGAAAATGTTTCCATTTCAGTCCATACCGGCGATATTAAGAAATTATCTTCTCCTTATTAGATGTAAGAATTATTCATTTGTTTTATAGCTTCTAACAGTCCATTTTAAATGAAACTGTGCAAAAGAAAAGTGCACTCATAGCATTGTAATGAATCACACTTTTAAAGACCTTCACATCAACAAAATATAGCCAATATGTCTTATCACTAAAATTAAATATTAAGTTTTTCTTACATTCATATATTCTATTAACCATAAAAGGTTTTTTATGGGAACAAAATGAACATTTTTTTTTTAAATATATAGGCTATCTAAAAATGACTCACAACATAAAACATGTAGCCTACTTGAATCATGCATTCTGCAATTGTATATTATTTATTTATGTTAAAGCGTCAACAAGTGTCAACACACAGGAGGAAAACGAGCTGGACTTTCAGTTCATCAGCAGGAATGTGGACGGTCGCCCCGGTCCCCACGTGTTAAAGGTGGTGGTGGTGGTGGTCCCTTTTCTCCCACCTTGTTTTTTTTTTTTTCGTGGGGGGTGAAAGAATTACTTCCAGGGCACATCAACTCGTTTCCTCATCACCCTAACCACCCCCCACGCCGCCCCCCCAGCACCTCTTCCCTGCCCCTCCACAGGCTTCCAACAGCCCCACCAAGCCCGCAGGGTGAATGTGTTTGTGCAGAGAGTGAGTATGGGGGGTGGGGGAGCAAGAGTCTTCAATAATGCTGCCTTCAAGTGCAGCCCGCCTGCTCATATTTTATATTTATAGAAAAAAACTTTTGTCCGTGTATTAAGCCCTCACATGTTGAAGATGACACTTTAATGAACATCAACAAAAGAAACATATTTTTATGCCTGTTTAAATTTAAAATTAATAGGCTACATGATTATATCATGATGGTATAAGCTACTCTATGTTGTCAGTGAGTGTCAGTACTTGATGTTTTGATTGAATTATTTAAAAAAACGTTACAAAAGTCCTGCTTTTGGCTGCTGTCTGTTCACTAATAAATAAAAACAAACTAGAATACTTCAGTTATAGGCCTATTTATTCATAGTTTGTGTTTGGTAATCAATCGCGCTCTAATAGTGGCCACATTTCCGACCGAACATGAATGCACCAAAAGCCTTTTGGCGTGTTCAATACAGAGGAGCGGGGTAGAAAATGCCTGTTGTTCAGCGGGGGGTGGGGGGTGGGCTGCCTCCAAAACCACAACAGGCTTACCTGTTGCTGCAGTGTGGTAACAACAGTTTGTGAGCATGATGTCGCGAGGTTTTCTTCAGAGGAGCTGCAAACACAGATGAAAGTGTGAGGACAGTCATCATGCTGGACCTTTAATCTTCAGGTATATTATTCTGATCGTCCAGTGGTCGGACGTTTGTTTCTATGTGAGGACAGCGGCAGTTTTCATCCTGTTTACATGCCGGAAGAAAAACAGCATCCAAAACAAATTTGATTTCTTTAGTCGAGTGCTGGAGCTCTACAGGCATTTAAGCTGCATGAAATCACAGCAGGTCCATGATAGGACTGTCGTTTAATAAGTTTTTGTCTTGACGCAAACATTTATTTTTGAAAGTTGCCCGAGTGAAAAATAATAATATAATTGAACCTTTAACTGAAAAAATAGTCTACAAGCAGGTTTTTCCCGTCACAACATTAATTAGTTGTCTACAAATATATATATATATATGTAGTTTTCAGTTTTTTAAAATGTCATGTATATAAAGAAGTGATGCCTAAATGACAAATTCTAGATTTGCAAATGTGTTGTGAGACTTAAAGCCACATTCTTAAGGCTATGTATCATTACTTATTCATTCATTGATAAAACAATTAAAGAACTAGTAAGAATGAAATATTAAAACTGAGAAAGTTCAGATTAAATTATGAGGTTAAAATGTTAAAATAATACAGTTCATCATCCCACATTTAAATCATTTACATTCAGATATGAGACTTTATAAATTACATGAACAGACTTGATCAAATTGATGCAATTATTTCATTCATTGTTTGGCTTTAGAATTAGGGTTAATCTAATTATGCATAATTATACAGTAATTGTAAATTCTGTCTCTTTTTAATTCAAGAATCTATGACAACTAAATATATTTAAACTCGCGCAGCAAATGAACAATTTAAACGTCTGATGAAAGACTTCTGGTTATTTAGTCTTATAAATTAAGAAATTTAGTCAATGTCAATAGTTGTCATTTGTCTGATGTACTTTTTTCACAGTAAACTGGACATGTGTAGAGAAGGTAGCATTACATAGGAGCTGAATATGAAATTTTATATTAGTTTAATAAATAAAATTACTGTGAGAACAGAACAGCATCTCCTCTGTTCAGTCTGTTTACATTGAGGGTTTTGTCTGTAGCCTGGATTATTACAGTGTGATCGAGTTATATTAATGTCATACAAATGATGCGCAGTTATCAGGATTGTTTTAATGCTACACTTGAATGTAGAAATAAAGTTTTACAGGGAGATCCTCACTCTTTAGACCAGTCGCAGTCTGATGCAGCTGTTGTGGTCATTTCTCTGCTGCAGCTTCTCATGTGAAGATGCTGCAAAACAAACAGAGCTGGACAAGAACAGATGACAGAGAAACAGGGGATGCTGAAGATGGATGAGGTGAAGCCATTTCCCAGCATGAAGAAGGAGACTTCCTTCATTATGCCACTGTTTGTTTATTTAGATCACAGTGTGGTTGGTGCGACCACAGTCAGGTTGATTGCAGTTGCATGGTGGTCTGTTATTTCGAGCTGTGGAGTGATTTTTAACTGTCTTATGAAACGCCACATAGTGCCGTGGCACTGACTGACTCTGCCTGTCTCTCTCATCCTCTCCAGACCGTCTCTCACGTGCAAGAAAAACCGCCTCGCGAGCAAGAAGGGCAGCCTCCAGAGCCGCCACTCCCCTGCCTGTCTCTGGCTACCACACACCTAATCAGTCCTGATTAGATGCACTGTAAGGGACGAGGAAGCCAGGCTTTCAGAAGTTATGATGACAGAACAGAAGAAAGCGATGGGCTCCCTTAAATAAAGCCTTCATCAGGGCATTGAGCAGAAACATCTGTGTGTGTTTATGCCTGCTGGGTATAACAGTAGTCAGATCTCCAACTTATTCCTCTGGTGTCATCCCAATTTACCTCTCTTTTCCTTTAACGCCCTTCAGTCCATAGCTCTTCTTTTAACACCATCAGCTTCATAATCACACACACCCAAGCCTCCACATAAATACACACACACACACACACACACACACACATCCACAATTCTGGCAAGCACACACAGCCCCATCCACACGAACCTAAGAGATCCAAAATCAGCATCAGTGAACACAATGGCAATTAGTAAGGGGGACAATTTGTTCACATCTGGAGTGTATTTCCTTGCCACCAGAATACCCAGCAATCCTTTCTTTCAGGCTCTGGCGTGGTGGGAAATGACTATGTGTAGTCTTTTTATGTGTTTTGTTTAAAACAGATGGGCGGTTTACATTAGTGGAGATGGGCGATAAACAGCTTAGAAAGGATGGAGAGGAGGGAGGCGGGGAGGGAGGGAGGGGAGGGTGAAAACCACTGGGACACAAAGAGAGAGACACCACCATCCCCTCCAGTTTGTGCAGACATATGACCAAGGCGTGTTGTGGACATACATTATTTTCTCCACAGTTTTGTTTGGGTCGGCTTTTCCTTAATTATAGTTGTGTAAAAATAGGTTGTTACCCTATGGTGTGTTTTAATGAGCCTGGGTGAGACTAAATTTATTCTGTTTGGGTCACGGGCTGAAAAGTCTGAAGAATCTTTTAGTGAAATTTGGGTGTAATTCAACCAGAAACGCCCTGTGGCACACTTCCAACAACCTAAAGAGCCACATGATTAATGCTCAAAACACAAATGTTACACAACACCCTGGTACCTGTTAAGATGATGGTGCTGCACTGGAAGATAGCACGATGATCACATCCTGTGTGTGTTACGTAACCACCGAGCAGCTGCTGTGTGATAACTTCAGGGTTATAGCACAGGCGCAGCAAATGTGAGGAAGTCTATCTGAGCTGGGTCCGACTCCCCTGCAATGAGGTGGGGTATCAGGTCGCAGGCAGCCCACACCAGTGGTCTGCAGCAGGTTGATAAGGTGGATGGGTGGAGTATCCTGTCCAGCTCCACGTCCACGTCACCAGGGCTACCGAAGGGAGAACTAAAAATAATGACAAGCATTTTGTCAACAGGGTTTTTGCCTAATTTTCTTAACAAATTTAAATCTGAATTAATCTTTAGTAACAAAAAAAAGAGTTATTTTTTATTAAGTCCATTTTCATATTCAGTTTTATCTACATCACTAGAGGCCAAAGGCGGATCCTGTGTGGACAAATAAAAATAGGTGTTTTGTCAGCAGTGTTTTGGCTAATTTTCTTCATAAATGTTCATCTGCAAAAATCTTTAGAAACAAAATTGAGTTCTTTTTTTTGTTTGGTTCATGTTCATATTCAGTTTTTATCTACATCACTAGAGGCCAAAGGTGGATCCTGAGCGTACAAATAAAAATGGATGTTTTGTCAGCAAAGTTTTGTTTGTTTCCAAATCTTCACAACCAAAATGAATATGTTCCCTGTTTGTCACTTTCATGTTATAGAAACAGTTTATACCAGTTTATATCCACTAACAAACAGCAGATCTTAGCTGAGAGGTACAGTAAAACTAAAAATAAACATTTTTTTCAACAGAGCTTTGTTAGCTTTGGGCAGTTTTATAGTTTCACTGACACTAAATGTAATTAAATCTTTACATGTTTTGTTACTTTCATTCAGGGTTTCAGTAAAGAGCAGTCCTGCTACAGGTTGATCAAATTGGAGCAGGAAAACTAAAACTAAATGTAAAAGTTTTGTAATGTTTTTGCTGGATTTCACAACACCTCAAAATCTAAATGTGTCCTCACAACTGAGTTTTACGTTATATTTAAATGTAGTTTTTATCCACATCACAAAGGAGCACTGTTGACAAGTGGGGGACACAAAAAAATTAAAACAGGTATTTTGTCAACAGTATTTGGTCAGTTTTGGATAGTTTTTTTCCTCTACACTTCCACATTTAAATAAAACGTAATGGCCATAATTATTTTTTTAATTCTTTCTTACTTTTATGTTATATTCTGTGTGCATCATGAAAGCATGTCTTGATCAGAGGGATCCTGGCTGACAGGAAAACTATTAATAAAAATAGGCATTTTATCAGTTTTTCTAGTTTTTGTAATTTTTCTTAACACATTTAAATCTAAACAAATATTTAAGGGAGAAAAGTTTTGTGTTAGTTTGTGTTAGCTGAGAAGATATTTAAAAAATAAAAACAAGCATTTTGACAAAAGAGTTTTGGCTTAGTTTTCTTAACACCACTTGTAAATAAATCTTCACAGTCAAAATTAGTTTTATTACGTTTTTGTTAGTTTTATGGTTCAATATCCATGTCAGGAAGGAACTGTGCTGCCATACAGGGATCTGTGCTGAAAAGAAAAGTGAAACTAAAAACAAGCATTTTGTCAGCCCAAATGAATTTTGTTACTTTTTTAAAAAAACTTTTTTTATGTTAGATATAATTTTTATCTACATCACTAAAACACACCACTGTCACAGGGGGATCCTAACTGTGAGGAAAAGTAAAACTAAAAACAGGGATTTAGTGAACACATGGACAGATTTGTTAGTTGTTATTTGTCTTAGCACATTTAAATCTAGATAAATCTTTAGAACCAAAACGAATTTTGTTACTTTTGTTTTAGATTTGTTTTTTATTCATGCACTAAATCACAATCACAAACCTCAGGGAAAAATAAAAGTAAAAGGTATTATGGCAACAGAGCTCCATTAGTTTTTTTTTAAACATCTCTAGAGCCAAAAAGACAAAATCTTCAGAGCCAAAATGATTGTTTTCACTCTAATATCAGATTATTGTTTATCCAGGTCACCTCAACCTTTCTAAGAGGAAAAGCTAACTAAAACCAAAAACAGGTATTTTGTTATCAGAGTTTTGCTAGATTTGGCCAGCTTTCTGAAAAACTACAAATGCAAATAAATAACTTTTCACAACTAAAGTGAGTTTTGTCACTTTTTTGTGTTTTGTTCCCTTTATGTTTGATTCAGTTTATATCCACATCACACTGCTGCTGAACAGGGAAAACTAAAAGTAAAAATGAACATTTTTCTCAACAGAGTTTAGTTAGTTTTGGGTGTTTTTTTTTCTTCTAAATATTTACATCCCAAATCATTCACTTTTTTAGTGAGTTTTACATTAGATTCATTCTTTGTTATTTTCAGGAATTTTTTTCTTTACTGCCCTAGAAAAACCTAGAAAAAAGTAGGAGGATTTTTAACAAAGCTACAAACATATGTGGTCTCTGCCTGCTGAAATTGGGGAAATTACACCACACATGCTAGTCACAGCCTCCAGCTGAACTGAAAGCCAGGTTGTCAGTAACAACACAGAAAGGTCAACAGGAGGCGGGTTGTTTGAGGTTGACTACCTCATTTCCCTCTTCTGAAAGGCCACTGCAGAGAGCTGTAGGCCTGTTATTCTGCATTAGCAGTGAGTAAGAGAGAGGCAGAGAGTTAAGACAGAGAGGGAAAAAGGAGGAAACATGCATCTGTACATCTTTACATGTTCTAATGAAATGCAAAGTGAAGCGTTATGTGTCTGAGGAACTTATAGATTCAAAAAGGGAAATGAAATTGCTAGAACACAGGACAGTGAGTCAGAGATACATAAAAAAAACAAGATGTACAACCTCACTTTATATGTTAACAACTGTACCATCTATTGATTTATCTGTCATTTACAATCATTACCAGATCAGACTCAAAAGATATCTAATAAAAATGTGAAAATATTTAATTCAAGTAAGTGTAAAGGTGTGTTTTTGTTGTGATGGATGTCATTTGTTCACCTGAGGGAAGTCTCTCTCTCTCTCTCTCTCTCTCTCTCTCTCTCTCTCTCTCTCTGTCTCATACTCCGGCTGTGAGTTGTGGTTCTTTGCATTGTTATCATTGCTGTCATCTCTAACAATGAAAAACAGTGTGTGTTCAAGGGATGGGGGAGGAGCAGACACAGAGAACGACACAGGAAAAGAGGGAAAGAACAGCCAGCTGTCGAGCATCAGAGAAAAGAAAAACGAGAGTGATTGAACACAAAGAGAGAATACGTTGGACTGGGTTGGCTGAGCTGGAGGATGTGGAGGGATTAAGTATCTTTCAAAGCAAAGGCACGAGTAAAAAACTTCTCAAAACTCTTCATTGCGAAGAACTCACAAATAAGGACATGGATGTTGGTATGAATACAGAGGAATGAAATGTCTTTTATGGTGTTTTGGCCACATGTGCTATTTGTTAGATCATAATAATCTATTATCACCATTGATTTGCACACATGCAGTTGTCCCTTGCATGCAGATCATATCATACATGCAGGTCAGCTGTGTCACTGCAGCCTTTCAACAGCAGATAATGAACTCTTTAATGTGACATATTTAAGCAATTATCAGCGGATTCAGTCAAACAAGGCAGGCTGGCAGAGAGTCCACACATTTCAACGAAAGTAACAAAGGTTTGAGACCGCACCCAGGCCATATGTTACCATGCCAACCCAGCACATTAGCTTTGGGCATGTTGAGCGCACATGTGAACATCTCATGAAGAAACTATAATGACAGAGCTCTAGGAAACACTGCGAGTCTTTATCATTGGATGTAGCACTGATTGGCTCCATCTGATTTCCACCAGGGAATCCGAGGCAAAGAGGGTTGGTCTGATCCATTTATTTTTTTCTCTTTGCAATGTGAACTTTGTGTGACCGCTTTGTTTGTCAGTCTGCAGGAATGATCACAAGAGAATAAGTAAAAGATATTTTGCTGCATCACTAATAGTGTTTTACTTCCAAACTTTAAATATGTTGGGAACATGTGCTGGCAGCCATCGTTATTCATTTTTAAAGGTCCCATATTTGACACTTTTCTCGTGTTTTATTTGGGGTGTTGATCCATAAGAAGATACATTTGTGGTTTTTAGTAACAAAAAACATCTCGATGTAGTTTTATATCTTCTTCCTGGAGCTCTAGTAACAACAGGTCGGTGATTTTTTTTCAGGTAGACACTTGGAGAAATCAAATCCAACAAGGTTGGATGGTGGGTCCAGGTGGGCCATCCTGGGGCATAACTGAGGTTTCTGACTGTTGTGACGTCAAAAAGTTACGAAAGTCCTGACAGCTTGTTTTAAGGCTCAATTTGAATACGGGCTGTGTGCATTATATCCATGGATTACACACTTTAATACTTTGACTTTCACAGTATTTATATAGTACCTAGTCCTGCTTTAGAATCAAAAAGTCATGGACATCTCATGTTCCACAATATGGGACCTTTAAAGAGCGCAAGTTAGTTCAACATTTCAAGTGAATGTTGTTCCTGTAACCTTAGTTTCAACTGTGTTCGTGTGGCGCTGGCACATTTTTTTCTACACTTTGAACTGTCAAGTCCACTGAATGAGTATTAATGTAGACACAGGGCTTTCAATGCTTTAATTAAACGCTTTCAGATGTCTCAGTTGTAAGGAACGCTAATAACGGGAAAGGTAAAGTGCTGTTTTTCTTCTGTCTGGTTGCAGAAAATAAATTAACACCTTATGTAAAGGGGAAAAAAACTGACATGGGTTCTCACATCCTCATTCTGCAAGAGTTGTGTCAAGTTTTCAACGGTTCATGTCTCAGTTTGGAATAAAACTATTCACACTTTATCCACCCTGATAAAAAAAAAAATCACACACGTCTCATCATACAGTTGCAATTGTATAAGATTGTCTGTTGTAATCAGTAGTGTCTTTCTAGTGATCTTATTGTTTTTATTTCCTACATAGTTTTATTCTAGTAGGTTCAGGATGCAGCAGCAATGTTTGCTTGGTATCCCTAAATTGATTTCTGTATTTGTCTTTTTTACTTGTTTAAAGTGGGTGGGACTCAGTAAGAAAAAGGTGATTTCAGCACACCAATCAGAATATAGCAAAATTTTAATCAAACTTTGATAAGCGTTGTGAGGGATTTTATTCCTTTGTTTTTTGTCTCCTTATGCTAGCCTGTTTCCACTGATTTCAGCCAGCTTCTTAGATTTGTCAAGCAATAAGTGAAAGTTCTGGTGTTGCACCCATTGAAGGTTAATATCACGCCATTAGAAAAACAGGTTGTCAACTTTGTTTTTAGGCAAATAATATATACAAGCTGCTCCCTGGCCACCAGTCAAGACACCAGATGAAATTGAAATGTCATAGCCAAAAAAGCCAGTCTAATTCCCCCAAACAAATACCCTAACACATATACAATACTCACACACACCCAAATACATCAACACCCACATATGTTACACTTATGCTTACATACAACCCCGCCCACACACACACACACACGCACACACATACACACACACACACACACACACAAATGTAGAAATAACACAGCACTGTCAGTCAAATATCTTAAACCATGCCCACAGCAGAACATCTGAGTCTCACAACTTCTCATAACTTTTCATAACTTTGTTTGCTTCATGTTAACTTCCATTGCTGCTTAATTAATCACTGATACAAGCTTTCAGGGTCTTTAAAGTCACTTCATTTTCCATTTATAGCCAAACAGATCTAAAACAACTTGAAAAGTCTGGACATGTCTCCAGCAAATGATTCCATAATTCTCCTGTACTTAGACTATGCATTGTTTCTTTACTGAAGGACAAATACTGTAATACTGAGGCACTATTTATCTATTTATAGGATACAATTAAAATATCAATTTTTTAACATACATACCACACATTACCACTCCGGTACAGTAGGTGGATGTAGACGCAGCTCTTTGAATTCTTCAATAAACCTAAGGAAGAAGAATAAGCAGACGAAAAGCCAGTGCATGCTGGGATATGAAATGAAGCACAATGGCGGTTGAGCAACAAGCAGTTCATGCTTTCACACTGACATGTTTACTTTCATCACTGCTGCTCCAAACTTGTCGGACATTTGCCGAAGAACTGAAGTGGGATGAGAACGGCTACGTTTTGTACTGCCCGTGCATGGGTAATTCACTTCCTGTAGCTCATACGTAGATTTTTAGCAGAGCTAGCGAGTCCAAAACTTCACTCATTCATAAATTTAAAGTGACGTTTTAAATCTAAAGAAGTACATATGGCCTAAACATGAACCCATACCTGTGTTTGACTCTGCTAGGGGCCAGTCATCAGCTCGACGGACTGTTTAGGTGAATTAAAAAGCAACTGCGGGAACATTTGAACACTTGCAGCCAGAAGAGACGCAATAGTAGCTAGTTAGCAGCTAACTTAGCTGAGCTTAGTACAAACTTTAGTAAGTGGAAAAATACACCCGTTACCATACTGTGATTGCAAAGAACCCATTAAATGTGGTGCATGATATACTGAGGTAACATACACTTCCGTCCAGTCGCTCAAGTTTCCATCTTCTTGTCGTGAGGACTTTAAAGATAACAGTTGAAAATGACCGTTAAAGTAACGTGACCGCTGCTGTCGTTCAGGTCGCTTTGGGAACCAGGCAGACCACTTCCTGGGATCTCTGGCCTTTTCAAAGATGTTGAACCGAACCCTGGCAGTCCCTCCCTGGATAGTGTACCGCCACCACACACCCCCTTACACCAATGTAAGTACAGTCACAGTCAACTGTCACACAAGTGTGATTATTTATTATGTAGATAGATAGATTGAGTGAGAACTTTTTCAATACTAAAGGTAAGTTAAACCAGACAATTTGCATATTAAATCACAAAAACAAAATAGGCAGGTAAGAAACATTCAATAAAATAAATACATTAAAAAAAACTATTTAAAAAAAATCATATATGAAATAGAATTATACAAAAACTGAGACTAGAGACTAAAGGTAGTACTGAACATGTGCTGTACATGAGTGCATTTCAAGTAAACATCACTAAGTGCTTTACAGTAAGGTGCAGGATTGTTCTTTGACATTAAACAGAATTAACTGTATATTGAATGTATGTATATCTATGAACATTTTACACTATGCTTATCTTGCAGTTCTGAAAAGTTCAAAAGAAAACCAACTAGAATTGGAGACATTGTAATATAACAAATGTCATGAATTAATGTAATTAAAAGTCCAGGTGACCAGAGGACACTTTGGACATTGTTGTTCATACAAAGTAATGGCAGCTGTCGGGAATAACTTCCCGTAGCATATAAATACTGGTTCTGATAATCAAATCGTTTACCTTATTCACAGATGACATTTTGACCGGCCGTAACAGGAAAAGTACAGGAGGAAATAATAATGTCAGTGAGCTACAATAGTGACCCTGCATGCACAGTACCAAGGCCTCAGAAATGCTGAACCTAAACTGAGTGCAGCCATTGATAATGTTCAGGTGCAGCAAATGTTATTAGTTTTTTAACAGGTTGTCCTGTTATGATAGGTCATAATGTCTGTTGGGAAAAAGGAATGGATGGGTGCAGTCACAGGACTGGGTCAAGGATTTTAAATTTGTGTGTTTAAACTTATAGTTAACCTTTGTATATTGTTATTAATGGATAAATCTTTAGAAATTCTGTATTTTTCTTATTGTCAACCATCAGTGAACAAGTATTGTCTATGTATTCAAAGCCTTTGCACCATAGAGCTCCATTGTGTCCAAAAACTATTAAAAACACAATGATGAAGCACACCTTCACACTGGGTGGAGAAGTGTGCGTCATGATCAACACACACACTGTAGTTGATGTTGACTTAATCCCACACACACACCATCTTTCTGTGGGAGCACCAGATCTGTAGCTAAAAATAGTCGTGAAGAAATACACAATTTACTCCTGTTTGGTAGTAAGAATCTACACTGCCCAACTACTTTTGGAAATTACTTAGCCTTTTTAACAGGAAAAGATATTTGTGGCAAATTATTAATGATTTGCATATTCAGAAGGAACAAATAGGCCTGGGGCTAAGAGCCCCAAGTATTAGGAGACAGGCTATTGACAGTAACAAAATTTAGAGCATCACCAGCCTTATACTTTAAAGTTGAAGTGGATAGTGCTAAGTCATCCCATTCTTTTCTATTCGTTTCAGGTCCATGTTCCCTACAGGGATTTCTTCCAGTTAGAGGCTTTGTCTGCCTACCACCGTGTGGTCAGTTTGGAGGACTTCATGGAGAAGCTGGCCCCCAAATATTGGCCCTTGGGACATAGGAACGCCTACTGCTTTGAGACTGCTGCACAGCGGAGTGCAGACAAGAAATCCTGCCCTATGAAGGTGAGAGTCCAGGCAAACAGATTATTCGGTTGATAACTGTCAGCTAGTTATTATCTGATGAAATTTGTTTGCTCCTTTCAGACCATCTGAGTATTTCTCTTTCCTGAAAGATTTGAAACAGGTAGTAAAGGTGAAAGTAAAAAAGCAGAGAATGAGATTAATTAGAGAGCAAATTTGCAAACACCATCAGCAAATGAAAAGGGTTGGGGTGAAATTCTGCCCTCTGGTGGCCAATAGACCATCAGTTATGAACCATATAATTATGAAGCTAGTGTTGCTGTTTCATTGCTCTGACATAGATAGACGGGTCTGATTCATTTTCAGGATGGGAACCCATTTGGTCCATTCTGGGAGTACGTCGGGGTGGAATTTGACAAGTCTGTCTTGTTTGGTGGTATTTCTTTTAGTGCCTACCACAACCCTCAGTGGATGAAAAAGTGAGTACATGTTTGCGATTATCAAAGCTGACATAACACATACAAAACATCTTCCTAAGGATCAGTGGTAGCTTTAAATATAATGACTGGCTGGTGAGGTCTCCATTTTCCATTGATTATTAATGAAAGTTGTGAACAGGCATATTCTCTCCCTGCTTCCCCTGCTCGAACAGGTTTCCTCCCTCTGAGCATCCTGTCCTGGCGCTGCCTGGGGCTCCTGCCCAGTTCCCAGTGATAGAGGAGCATGTGGGGCTGCAGCGCTATGTAGTGTGGTCAGACAACATGGTGAAGGAGGGAGAAGAGCACATTGCCGCCTTGCTGACCAGGCCATATGTTGGCATTCACCTGAGGATTGGCATCGACTGGGTAAGATGAGCTTCATGATGTATGACGTTGGGCTTTAGACACATATCTTTCATTTTCTCATTCACTCAGACACCCACATACAATCACACATCTGTTCACAGAGAGTGTCACTCACTGATGTGTTTAGTAGTTTTTGGAAAACAATTGAGCTTTATGTCACAGAGGAATATCAGGCTTTGGATACACATGAAATGCTTGTCAGCAGGATTCATAGATTCTTTGTTGGGATTTGTCGACAATAATCACCAGATATTTAACCTAGCCTAATCTAGTTCTAGGTTGGTTCTCACCCCCTTCAGCAATGAGTCACATCTAAATATTTTCTATTCATCCACCTTTACAGCAAAATGCATGCAAAATGCTGAAGAGTGGCGATGCAGGGCCTCACTTCATGGCCTCTCCTCAGTGTGTCGGTTACAACCGCCAGACAGCACTACCTCTCACCATGACCATGTGCCTTCCTGACCTGGCGGAGATTCACAGGGCTGTCAAGCTGTGGGTGAAGAAGAACTCTGCCCGCTCTGTCTACATTGCCACTGACTCAGAGTCCCACAGCAGGGATATTGAAAAGCTCTTCAAGGGCAAGGTGGGTGTGTAAAGCCTCTCTCAAGTATGTCATAAGTAACTCCTGCTTTAAATTAGACTTTTGTTTCTTAAGCTTTTTACAACATCTTTATCATAGATGAGAACTGAGAAATACTCTCACTTGATTTATTTATTTCCCCGTTTCACTGTGGCTTCTACAGGTGAAAGTGGTGAGTCTCCAGCCAGACTCAGCCCAGTTGGACTTATACATTTTAGGCCAGGCTGACCACTTCATCGGCAACTGTGTCTCCTCCTTTTCTGCCTTTGTAAAGAGGGAGCGGGACGTGCATGGGCTTCCATCCTCCTTCTTTGGCATGGACAAGCCTGGAAAATCAAATCAGAAAGAAGAACTCTGAGTAGAAAGTGTCACCCTCTGGACGCTAATGCTAGATGACTGTCATGAGGAAGCAAGAACGCATGTAAAAAGTAGAGAATATTTATCATTTTTTTATGATGGTTCTTAATGAGTAAAGCAAGATAAATGAAGGCAGAGAACTGAGGAAGGGCTTTTAAAACAGGATGTAGCCTGCGGTTGTATTAATGTTTGTGAAATGTTATGACATGTTGCTGCTAGCAAGAAACACTATGTTTTTGTCTGTTCCCTGCTTGAAAATTCAGTATTTGTATGTTCCTTCTCAAAATTTGGCCTCTACCTGCTGTTGTTCACTACAGTAAAACCAGTTTTCTTTTCCACCAGGGAAACACAAGGTTTCCCCAACATTTCCTTTAGCTACAGCTGTATTCTTTAGCTGCAATCATGTTTTGCAATCCCGACATCTAGCAGGCCCTCTGATGACCTCAGTGAACCCTGGGAAAGACTGATTGCAGCGTCAGCGATCGTCTCTGTCTCTCTTTTGCTCTCTTCCTCTTCTCTTTTTCTACCACCTTCCCTTCCCCTCCATCTCTATGCAGCTCGCTCTTTCCTTTCCGCTCTGCCCTCCATTCCAAGGAGAGCACAGTAACTGATCCTCCTGTACATACTAATTATAGGGAGGGGAAGAGGAGAGAAGTCTTTCCACCTCTCACTTTACCAGGACCAAAAATTGAGGAAATGTGTGGAACCCCTTGTCTGAATGCTGCGTGAACAGTGTTGTTTATTTGGTGAATGTGAACAAATGTTTTAGGGTTGATTTGCACTGGTTGAATATTGATTAAATGTAACTGGGTATGTGTTGCAAGCTAATTGTGTGAATGAGATGATGATGAGGTCAAATATTTTCTACAATGTTTTTCACCAATAAAAATATGTACACTAGTTTTCAAAGAACCAACAGCCTCAGCCTGTTTCCTTCCCCTACTGGAAGCTTAGCCATGAGTACAGTTGAATCAGCTGATATACTAAGCTATGCTGGAAGAGCTTGTTGAGACTTGGTTGCCAGATAAGTCAGAATACTTTAAATCTTACTATATTCTTCATAAAACATGAATGTGGGCTTGAAAACACTAAACAGTTGACTGAATATATTTTGTAGTTTACTACCTTAACATGCTTAATATGCTCTCATAAACAATATATGGGTTAATAAGTTTTACATGCAGCTCTTTTGAGGGATGTAGTGCAAGAATCTGGCAACCCTTCCCTGGACCGTTGCGGGATGAGCAGCGGCTAATGGCTGACTGGGAGTTATGGATTAGCTAACGTTCGCTCACTTGTAAATGTTTAACGACATTTCTGTGTGTGTGACTGAAAGCGGTGTTTGCATTGCCTTGGTTTTATGAGTCTAATGTGCTTTTTGTTTTTGCGTGGCGATTTGTGGAATTCATTTATGCCCTCGCTGCAACCGTTGGCCAGGTAATGCTACCAGACTTGTAGTTTAGGTTACCAGTGTGTTTGCCGTTGCTAGGCCGGTCTCGCGGTCTCGTTACAGGCTGCGTTTTGTATTAGCTAACGTTGGTTAGCTGACCCGCTACTTTGAGGAATCATCAGTTGAGCAGCTACAGTAAAATGCAGGGTTTACCGATATGTTCTGGTTGAGAAAGTGCTCATCACGGCTATCACCCCATAACCTGAAATTCCTGATATATTGACTAGTTAACCTCGCAGTTAATAACTGCCGGTGAACGGGCTAAATTTAGTTAGCTAAATTGGGGTAGTGGCACCGGTGTATTACCTAACCGTCAGAGCAGTGTGCAAATGCTGCTGCTCACCGCTGACAAGTACGTGAAGATAATTTATTTTGACCGACTAAATTTAACCTCATCAGGTCTAATGCATGTCGTGGTGTGTAACTGGATAAGTCATTTTAAGCCACGTACAAGGAAACGTTAAACTAAGGTGTTAGCGTCAGGATAGATGTGTCATTGCTTAAGTCTATCAATAGCTTTCTGTTATTGCGCTGTGTTTAATGTATTGTCCAGGTTTCCATTGCAGGTTGATTGTAACTATTGAATGTGTCTTCTCCAGCAGGTTCTGATGTGGGCATTTGTACTGGTGGACTCTTCCTGACACTGCACTTGGAAGGCAGAGGATACAAAGTGCCAAGCCGTGTGGGCTGGCAGCTGCTCCTCACCATGTCCAAGAGCAAGAGTTCCGAGTCTGTAAAGGTGGTGGTTCGTTGTCGCCCCATGAATGAAAAAGAACGGGCTGCCAAGTTTGAAAGGGTGGTCTCTGTTGATGTAAAACTGGGTCAAATTATTGTCAGGAACCCCAGGGAAGCTTCAGCCAGCGAACTCCCCAAAGTCTTCACTTTTGATTCAGTCTACGACTGGAACTCCAAGCAAATAGATCTGTATGATGAAACCTTCAGACCCTTAGTGGAATCAGTTCTTTTTGGTTTCAATGGGACCATCTTTGCCTACGGGCAGACGGGTACAGGGAAGACGTACACTATGGAGGGGGTGAGAAATGATCCAGAGAGGAGAGGGGTTATCCCTAACTCCTTTGAGCACATCTTCACACACATTTCACGGTCCCAGAATCAGCAGTACCTGGTGAGAGCATCATATCTTGAAATTTACCAAGAGGAGATCAGAGACTTGCTGTCCAAGGACCAGTCACGACGCCTTGAGCTCAGGGAGAGGCCCGACACAGGTGTGTATGTTAAAGACCTTTCATCATTTGTCACCAAGAGTGTGCGGGAGATCGAGCATGTCATGAACGTGGGCAACCAGAATCGTTCAGTGGGTGCCACTAACATGAATGAACACAGCTCCCGATCTCACGCCATATTTGTCATTACTGTTGAGTGCAGTGAGTTGGGTGTGGATGGGGAGAACCATATCAGAGTTGGCAAACTGAACCTGGTAGATTTAGCAGGCAGCGAAAGGCAGACCAAGACTGGCGCTCAGGGGGAGAGGCTGAAAGAAGCTACAAAGATCAATCTGTCACTTTCTGCTCTGGGGAATGTCATATCAGCTCTGGTGGACGGCAGGAGCAGCCACATCCCCTACCGAGATTCAAAACTCACCCGTCTGCTGCAGGACTCTCTAGGAGGCAACGCCCGCACTGTCATGGTTGCCAACATTGGCCCAGCATCCTACAACGTGGAGGAGACCTTGACAACACTGCGCTATTCTAACAGGGCAAAGAACATCAAGAATAAACCACGTATCAATGAGGACCCGAAGGATGCCCTGCTGAGGGAGTTTCAGGAGGAGATTGCGAGGCTGAAAGCACAGCTGCAAAAGCGCTCAGGAAAGAAAAAAAAGAGGAGGCAGAGGAGGAGGGCCGGGGAAGGGAGCGATGGTGAGGATCTGGAAGAAGGAGAGACAGAGGATGATGATGAAGATGGAGATGGAGATGACAAAGGAGATTACTGGCGGGAGCAGCAGGAGAAGCTGGAGAGAGAGAGGAAGGCCATCATGGAGGATCACAGTCTGGTGGCTGAGGAGAAAGTTCGGCTGCTAAAAGAGAAGGAGAAGAAAATGGAAGACTTGAGGAAGGAGCGGGAGGCCGGAGAACTGCTTGCAGCCAAAGTTAAGGTAGGCAGACTTGTTTCTGTACAGCCAGAATGTATCTGTCACTGCTGCCTAAACACGACAAGTTTGACTTTCTTTAGGTTCAACTAAATGATTTGTCATCCCTAAAATGTACACACAAGCCAGTGGATTGTCTCATCAAGTCTGCTCATGAAATGTATTGTTGTTAGATGCAAATGCTTCTGTGTTTTCATCCGTTTTTTTGTTCTTCTACTCCCAGGCAATGGAGAGTAAGCTTCTGGTCGGGGGGAAGAACATAGTGGATCACACCAATGAGCAACAGAGAATGCTGGAGCTAAAGAGGCAGGAAATTGCGGAACAGGTATACCAAACATCTGAAAAATGGACACCTGGATTAGACTATTGTTTGAAGTTCACAAGTCAACAAAAATGTGACTACAGGATAGTTATTGGGAATGTAGTGAGGATGAGATGGAGGACATAATAAGATGCAAGAATGACAAATTATACAGAGAGGGAAAGAGGAAAGAGAGGTATGGAGCAGGATGACCAGTTGATGTTTCAGTGAAATATTGACCTTAATGCTGTAACAAAATATTGAAAGTGTGCAGTTGCAGCCTGCAGTGATTTTACATTCAACTGGATGTCAAATTCAAGTTTAGGTTTATCACAAATATCTCCACCCTCTCTTTACTTACTATAGACTAAAGGTTAATTAAAACTGGTGCAGTCTGCCCCACAGTGACTTCCCATGCTTTTTTCTTGATCACGTGTTTTGACGATAGCTTAATCCAGTTTTGGGATGATCATGCAATCCGTACACCTGGTCTGAGATCAGTTGTGTAGTTTGTGCACCCACACCTAACATGACCACAGTCTGGGACAAAAAATACTTTGTGGTGTGAGCAGCACAGCAGTTTTGAGAACGTTCTTGTAGTTTGGACTTGGCTTGAGTAGAAGAGTAAACCATGATTGACTTCTTTAACATTTACTTTCACGGGTATCCCCAAACAGTCTTCAGTCAATTACTGAAGTGGCCCCATGAGTAGATTAAACTACCAGTCACCATCTAAGCATTTATCTGTTCACAAGTAGCAATTTCCATCCATTGTATTCATTATTAGCCATTATCACACATCCTCCACACAGTGATCTTTATCTTTATGTAGGGCATTATGTTTCGACTATTTTGCTGTCTACTATCCCTAATTTGATTGACTGTGAAATTGTGTACCGCATGACAATCTCCCTTTCAGTCAGTGACTCTGTGTGTGTGTGTGTGTGTGTTTTTAGAAACGGAGAGAGCGAGAGATGCAGCAGCAGATGGAGAGTCGTGATGAGGAGACTCTGGAGCTGAAGGAGACCTACAGCTCCCTGCAGCAGGAGGTCGACATCAAAACCAAGAAGCTGAAAAAGGTAGCAGCTCCAAACTTGACTGGTCCCTCACACAGGGCAGTCCTGGCTGATGTAATCGATGAATATATTCTGAGTACATAAAAATACACTGTTAGTATAAATATGCAGTTGACATAAATATGCAGGTTGGCATTACTGTTTAATTTTGGAAGTCTGATGTGCACTTCTTGTGAGGATTTATGTGTCTGGTAATAAACGGCTTTTCAAGTAAGTAGGTCAGGTACTATTTTAAATCAGGTAAGAATACATTACTGGCTTTTTTGATGGGTGTGGATATTCCATTATTCCTCATGACATTCAGGTGTTTAAGCCAAACTCCAAGGCTGAATTTTCTAAAAGTCCTTTTCATCACAGTAACCCTGGTTTCCTCTCTCCTCCTCTGTCCTTCAGCTCTTTGCCAAACTGCAGGCAGTGAAGGCAGAAATCCAAGACCTCCAGGAGGCACACATCAACGAGCGCCAGGAGCTGGAACAAACCCAGAATGAGCTCACCAGGGACCTCAAACTCAAGTATGGAGTTTTTTTTTCTTCTCGGTATTATGAAAAATATTGCATATGGTGGGATATATTTTGATAATCAGTATTATTGAATATTGGCCCCAGTGTAGTTGCAGCTCCACGCTAAAACAATGTTTTTCCCTCATCAGTCTGAACTCAATACCACATAAAGACAAAGCCAAAACAGATTTTTAGACCTTTTTTGCAAATTTTTGAAAAAGGAAAAACTGAAACATGACACATCTGTAAACTCATCTGTCCTGATGGAGGAGGGAATATGCAGGATGCTGTAACATCTCCAAACTTCATCTGATTTCATGCTGTTAAATCTGAAATCTTGATCCATGTGCATCACACTCACAAACTTGACTTTACTTGCTGACATAATGTTTAAATGTTAGATAAGAAGGAGAAAACTATTGTCATGTTGTACTGTTACACTTATATTCTAGTCAGACCTTAGTTCTGTTCAGCCACATTTTTCTTATATATTTTCATATTTTATTTTTAGACTTTCCAGTGTAATACACAGCAGGGCAAGCTGGTATGGTTGTCTGTCTGTGTTCTTATATTTATTCAGTCACATCTGTCTGTTTCTGCCTCTGTTTAACGGCTCGTCTGTCTGATTTTTAGGCATCTGATCATTGAGAACTTCATTCCCTTAGAGGAGAAGAACAAAATAGTCAACAGAGCTTACCTTGATGAGGAGGATGAGTACTGGAAAATGAAGCCCATCACACGTATAGAGGAGTAAGTGACACAATATTCATGGAATACTTTTTTCTTTATTGGATTAGAAGTGCTCTGACTTGAGCTCATGTGTATTTTTTTTAAAATATAAAAGAACAGCTTTTAAAATAAATGAAATGTTAAAATGTTTAAACTGAATGTTTACAGGTGAAGTGTACTATAGCAGTAGTGTTTTTCATTATTAGAGCCACTCGGGGGTGGGGGGGGATCAAACCTGCACTCATTGTCCTATGCTGGGGATAGAGGTGTAACTATGGGGAACAATGCAAATTACATTTGGATACCCAGTATAATAATAAACAGTCAGGTGTTGGCCAGAAGTTTCTGATCCACATAAATACAGTTGTCAGTTCTGCACCATTCATTTGTTTTGCTAATACTAAGCCACTCATTGCATAATTTGAAACCAGAAGTGTTGACAGTGACATTGTCTAACTAATGAACAGCAAAAAAGTAGAGCACAGTAAAAAACATCAGTCTTCAGAGGTGAATTTATAATTGCAGATAATAACATAATAATAATATTCGTATTCTGCACTGGTGCAGATCAGTGATCTGTGTCAGCCAGGAGCCTGAGTCAGGAATATTATCACAGCTCGATGCAGCTTTAATCTGTGGGTAAACAACGCTGCACGTTTCTTGACGTAATATGACTAAAATCTGATATTCACACAGGTCAGAATTGAAATCTTTTTTTATTCTGTTTGAGTGAACACAGTTTTGTTGCAGCTGCTACATTTTCAAGCCAGAAGAAGGCATCTAACTTGAGTTTCAGGTTTTTAGAATAATTAGTACAGTGCTACCATGTCTGTCTGTCTTGCTTTATTGTATGATACGTTAAGACAGATGTCACACGGCAGTTTTTCCAATGATGCTGTATCCATTGTCTCACTCTGTGTGTCTGCTTCAGTGAACATCAGATGATGACCAGGCCTCTGTCTGCAGTCGGCTACAGGAGGCCTCTCTGTCAGCATGCTCGCATGGCCATGATGATGAAGCCTGACATGAGATACAAAGTAAGCTGCACTTTCTCTTCACCTTTTTGTATTGTATCTTGTATTCACACGTAACTATCGCAGTGAGTCAAGCACATAAAACCACAGACGCAGATTCTGCTTTCCTCCTCATCCTCTTCCTGTTTCATTGATGACGCCACAAAGGTTTGGGCTTAAATGAGTTGACACTTGATACAAAACCAAACACTGCAGCTTTAAGTGAATTTAGTATAAATGATACCTTTATAAAGATGTACCTCGATCGATGTGTTTGTCTCACATGAGTGTGCTTCTGTCCTGCTCCCCCAGGCAGAAAACATCCTGATACTGGACATGGACATACCAGCGAGGACCACTAAAGAGTATCAGGAGCCCGTTATCGCCCCAAAGGTGGCGGCAGCTCTGGAGGACGCTCTTCGGGATGAGGATGAGATCCAGGTAGATGCCTCAGGCTTTCACAGCAGTTTGGGTCCAACCCCACCAACCAGCGCCAGCGGCAGCCTCAAGAAACCAAAGTCTGGGTAAGGAAAACTGTCATCTGTGACCCCCCCCTCAGCTGCCAAGACCACAAGTTAGATTCATTTTTAAGTGGCTTATTCTGCAGTTAGGCGAAGAAATCACAGAAAATGTAAATTAAACCTCAGAATATGTAAGTGCGTAACCTTTGCTATCATTCCCACAGTCTGTTTAACCCTCTGTCATCTCTTTCTGTCACTCAGTCGACCAAGAACAGGCAAGAAGTCGAGCACCCCGACCTCTCCTTTCAGCCCCTCTAGCCCAGGATCTCCTCTTTATCCACAATCCCGTGGCCTGGTGCCCAAGTGACAGCTCCTGCCACTACTCTCATGGCCACCAACCTCTCTTGTGCACCTTTTCCACTTTGGGACCCAACTTTGAGAGAATGGGTTTGCTTTTGTCAAAGCTGTGTTTTTTTTGTCCAGACTACAGAATCCTGGATTCTACAAACGATAGAGAAATCTTTAATACTAATGCTGCTTTGTAGGTTTTAACTGTAACCACACCACTATTAACTGTTGTCATGAGCTTTTCATTTGGAGATTTGAAGCCCCTCATCCTGAGTGTGAGTCAGTACAACACCAGGACAGCAGCCATGCATGAAGCCTCACATCACTCTGCTCTGCTATTACCTGACCCTGCTTTTGGCAGAATGCCAGCAATGTCTTATATCTACATCACAATGTTCTTAATGTACAGGAAAAAAAATGAAGGTGGGCTTAGAACCCCCCCTTAATGGACCGCAGTATCTTCTTGCACTTCTTCATAGCTTCCCAGATGTGTGTTGTCTGTTGGGTGTTGTAGTCCTCTCTCTTACTGTAACTGTGGATGTTGTGGAGGTGTGGTGGGGTTGACTGGGCAGCTCTGCTGCACTTGTTGCTAACAGACTGTGTGTGTGTAGGTGTTTGTCAGTGTGTTGTATGTCTGGATGCATATGTGTGTGTGTGTGCGTGTGTGTGTCTATCTTAACGTTGCTGTCTGTATATTGACCTTTTTGGTTTACGTCAAACTGCGCTGTCTTTTTCATGGTTGGACTTCTGATAACGTTGGGGTGGAGCTTTAACCCCCTGTGCATGTTGTTTTATGTCTTAAAGGAACATTTTGGGAAATATGCTTTGTTGCAGAGAGTTAGCTGAGAAGATCAGACCACTCTCATGCCTGTACAGTAAACATGAAGCTAGAGGTGATAATCAGCTTGTCTTGACAGTCTTCACTGGTTTCCCGGTGACCTCATGGTGCCAGTGAGGCTACAGGAAGCCTTTATGCTAAGCTAAGATAATCACCTGCTGGCACAGTAGAGTAACAAATAAGGGTATTTCCCAAAATGTTGAACTATTCCTTTAACTGTGTATGATTGTAAATGTACAGGCCAGAAAGTAAAGCACTCGACAGACTGGCCCACATGTTGCTGTAATCAGTAGATGCTGTTCTTCCCGGGGCACATGAGACTGAGGTGGGGAACGATGAGAGAGAGCTCAGCACATTCACACAAACACACACTATGGAGACATTCAAGGCTGAATGACTGCAGTTGGCCACCAGACGTCCTAGCGGGAGATCAATGCTGAGCACACCCTGGGTCACTTCAAAGTTACTGTCGTCTGATTCTGTGCCTCAAATACATCAGGGTTCCGAGGTGCCTTAACCTGTGCCCTTAATCTCTGCTCCTTCATTTGAACTGTGCACACATCACATTCTTCTCAGCCAGTGTTTCTATCACATCATCTTCTCATTCATTCCAGCATCAGGGAATCATTTATAACATGGTCCTGACATTCCTGTCAGAATGGGGTGCACTCATTAGATGGTGAAGCAGAGCATTTGGACACAGCATTCAACCACCCCCAGGTCTCTGGCTTAAGGGCCACAGGAAGGGAAGTTAGACGAAGGGTGATCTGTTCACCTTTTATTCTTTATTTTTGACCCCATCTATTTTTTAATTCTTTACCTCATCTACTTTTGGTCTGAGTGGAAAACAACCGATTGGTTTAACAGAACACTTTAACCCCAGGGAGTGTGGAGCGCTTCACAGCGCTGCGGTGGTGCCACAAAACTCAGTCGATACATTACGGACTTGAATGGATCTGAATACACAAACCATTCCATGTGAATGCCTACAGATGAATAATATGCAGTTTTTAACCTCCATGGTTCAGCCGGCCTCTCTGCTGCTCTCTGTTCCCCATGCTCTAACTGTGAGGGGTGTGCTGTCCACTCGCTGCTACGGTGTAGGGTTTTACAGCCCACTGTGACTTTTCCACAGGCCTGGGCCAAATAGCAAATGAAATCCTCTGATACCTGCCGATTTTTGAAGAGGGATCGTTGTCATCATCAAGCCCATCTCAGTCGTAAAAAATACATGAAGCTAAAGGTGCTCTCTCGCTGTTTGGCCCAGGCCTGTAAACATGATGTAGTTAGATATGTAACAGTGAATATAGACTTGTTGATAGGCAATCCTCAGTCACTCTTGCAGCTGAAAGAGAAAAAAAAAAAAAAAAAAAAAAAATTTACAAACGTGGGTTTCCATATTGAAAAAAATCTAACTTATAATCTTTCATTTTTATATACAGATGTAGATATAATTTTTTATTCCGTTTTTTTCTTTAAAATAGATTCTTGTTTTATTTTTTGAGCTTTGTAATTTAATGTTTAAATTTTATTTTTGCGTGATACATGTACTTTGTGTCTTTTTGTATTCAGCAAGGTACAGGTTTCTTTTTCTGTTTGCCACAATGAGTCACCTGTTGGTTTATGTCACTGTTGAGTATTTTACACATTAACTGTTGATTTAACTTCATAAACACAGACATGAATCTTTAGAGTAAGGCCTGATTGTTGTATCTAACACTGCAATGCTGTATACCTGCCGCATGATCTTAGCACGCTCGAGTAACACGTTTGTGTATGAGTATTCATCAGTCATAGGACTTTGGTAAGCAAAATGTGAATGTCTTAATTTAATTGAATAGCTTTGCATCTGCATCCCACAGCTACATCACTGGATCCAAACTCCTTATCTAAGACTTTGTGACCACCTTTTATGTGCTGGTATTGTTTTTATAGCCAAATGACGATTATGCTGGTGCACTAATGTCTGTGGCTGGCGGAGTCTTTTAGTTTCTTTTGATTATTAAAGACAATTCAGTGATAACAAGATGGTTGGCATGTCCTGTCTGTTTGGGAGATATTTAAGAATAATAAAGCCATAGTTTAAACAGCTCGGTTGAAGTACAATAGGCCCAGAGAAATTGTGGTTTTCAGAGCTAGTCATCTCAGAGGGCTTGTCAGTGCCTGTGACCCTCTGCCTGAAGCTAGATGAGGTCAAACTGGTTACTGAGGCCTCTGGTTAATGGGTGATGACCACTTCATACTCGGGTCACAGGCTCAGCTTCAGACTGGGGAAGATATCCTCTCTGTTTCCATCCCGCAGAGGAGAAGGCCTATTAGTTTTGACTGCTTGTTGTTTACGCTCCATATGATCTTCCAGTGAGAGAGTTAACTGGACCGGAAAATGCAAGAAAAGTCTTAAAGGTACCATATTTTACACTTTTCTGGTGTTTAATTTGAAGTGTTGATATCCATAAGAAGATATATTTGTGGTTTTAAGAACCAAAAACCATCTCAATGTAGCTTAATATCTCCTCTCTCAGGCTTTTCTCTGGAGCTCTAGCAACAACAGGTCTGTAAGCCAATCAGAAGAGAGGCAGCTCTGAGATTTCAGGTAAACACTCAGAGAAACCAAATCCTTCAGGGTTGGATGGTGGGACCAGGTGGGCGGGGCTTGGGGCATGGCTGAGAGCGGTTACTGCTTTGTTGTAACATCACAAAGTTACAGAAGTCCTGATGGCTTGTTTTAAAGCTCAGTTTCTGAAAACATGCTGTCTCCATTTCTCTGTGGACTGAGGCTTTGATACTTTCACAGTATTGATATAGAACCTACACCTGCTTTATAATTAAAAAAAAGACATGGAAATCTCACTTTATACAATATGGGACCTTTTAAATCTTGCTTGAAAGTTCAGAAGTATTTTCCTCTTTATAGCAGCTGTTGCCTTCACTAATCAAATGATTCCATTTCCACCATGGCATTCTTTTATATAATGGACTTTATTAACAGCATCAATAATACAGCTCAATTTTAAAAACAAGTCATTCTCACCAAAACTTCATGTGAAGTCCAAAATAAAAAAAACAACGTGATCATTTACATTCAGCAAAGAATCACAACTGCACAACAACCAAACGTGAATGGTACCCATGTTGCAAAAAGGAATGATCTACACACAGGATTCAAAGGCAGATCCAGCAGCATTGGAAATGGTAGAACAGCAGTGAAGCCAGACATTACACTGCAGGAATCAGAGAAGATGGACTCAGTCCTCCCATTCAGTGTTGGATATACAGTATAACCAATATGCTGCCAGTATCCTTTTATTGTGATCTCATCCATGATTTATCAAATAAACTGTATTCACTGATACAGGGTGCTTCTGCATTGCCTTGTGCAATGATCACATACACATTCTTCAGTTACAAATTTTCAAATGGGAGAAATCTAAGGCTTTACATGATAAAAACTGATACATGAACAACCGCAAGTGTCACTTCAGCGGTAGTGGTGCCGTTTTAGAAATGATAAAACAAATCTGTAGGCTTCATGAATTCTCTGTCGATCTGCTGCGTCCTCAAAAAATTTAGTCCATGCAACTTAAGTTTGGCACAGAAAGGAGCAGAGAGTTTGGTACAAAAGCAAAAGAATATAAAAAGAATAATAAGAATAATGCCCCATCGAACCGGAAACTACGAGAAAAAAATTTATTCAAAGATACTTCTATGTATCAAAGTATCTTCATGTTTTTATGATTCACAGAACAAAACATACAACACTTTTCATATGTACACACCACTTCAAGTCTCAGAAAATTCAAAAATCAAGATATTACAAGAAAAAAAACGGTGAGAGAAAACCTCCACACTGTCAATCATCAAAAAACAGTTATGTGTTTTTAATCATGCTGGTTTATTTATGTAAATTGGAATATTAGTAAGTATGTAATCATTTATGGTCGTTCTCTGTTGGTGCACAGAATACGATGGGATGTAGAGAGAAACAGTGAGGCGGTTTCACCTCCGTACGACAAAGACGCCAACTCATACAAATGTAACATATGCATAGAAAAAGGAAAACTCAACCTTCTGTGAAATCAACTAATCTCCCAAAATGCTTGAAACGATGACCGAGCCTCGGCCTTAGAAAAGCAGATCATTAAAGTGAAATCATCTAATGGACTGAGGGCTCGCGGCAGAGCTCCTCCTTTTTGTTTGGAAATCAGTCGAAATAATCACGAATGCCACACCACCTTCCTCACTAGCTGCAGCTACAATATCATTAAATATGATATAGCAAAAGAGCCGACTCTTTGTCTTCCCTTCCCTTCATTGGGTGATTTTACAAGCACCACCTCATGTGGACAAAGCAGCGTCCACATGACTCGTACAGTCAACACATGCTCTCTAACCTGTGGACCCGCTGTAATTGGAGTACAGAGCTCGTAGCCTTGTGTCTTCTGGTCTCTGGCTGAACTGTGCTCTCTGTTTGTTGCTACAGTGTCTGAACTATGTTGCGAATGTATAGTCCACTAATGATGGAGCTCTTTGCCTTTTATAAGCTGTGGATACTCTGTGGGCTGTTGAGCTGTCGTTAGGCAAATGCTTGATTAGTAAATTAGAGCTTTAGAGCTTTAGAGCAAATTAATAGACTGTGCATGTGTCTTGTACCGATTTCTATTTCTCTGCACCTCAAAGGAGACACAGAGTTTTCATCAGTGGCTGTTTGGTTGTTTAAAACATTGGCGTGAACCATTTCTGTTCCCAGAGAAGCATCGCTCTCCCTCCCCCCCTCCGCTGGACGAACTGAACTGACTCTTCACAGCGTCAGCAAACAAATTAAGTAAAGAACGATGGGAGGCAGAGCAGAAACAGGGAGAAGGAAAAAGAGTGGATGATGGAGAGGAATGAGGACAGGTGTGAGAGAGAGCAAGAGACCCATGGTGGAGCTGGGGGTCGGTAAGGTCGGGGGCATGTTGTCCTGCCTTATACAGGTGGTGGTGGGGTTGTAGCAGAGGCTTCAGCCCGTGCTGAGCTCTGACTCCAGCTCCATCAGGCTCATTTCTCCCTGTAGAACAGCAGGTACATCTTCAGAGGCTCGGGCAGCGGCAGGCCCAGTATCCTCTCTCTCAGGATGTTCACGGCCGGCTGGGGTCGGAGCAGCTCCCCGGTCTCCTTCTCTTCCTCCTCCTCCTGCTCCTCTTCTTCATCCTCTTCCTCCAACGTCTCCTCCTCTTCGACCAGCCCTCCTCCTCCTCTCACTGCCCTCCTGCTCCCTCTCATCTGCCGCCTCGCCTCCCTCTCTCCCGCCCCCTCCTCCTCGTCCACCGCTCGTCCTCCCTGGTTGTTGTTGCTGTCCAGAGAGGCGGAGCCGATGCCGCTGCTGGCCACCACCTGATGGGTGGCCAGGACGAGGGCGTTGCAGTGGCGCCGGTGAACGCGCCGGCGTTTGAAGCGAGGGCCGTACTTGTGGAGCCCAGCTACCGCCAGGCCTCTACCCACGCTGAAGGAAGAACCTCGGCCACGTGACTGGCTGTCTCCTCCATCTGTGGTCACTCTGAGGGTGTGGCGGATGCAGATGCGAGCCAGCTCCTGTAACGACCGAACCTCATACTTGGCTGCAAAATTGAGAACCACGAGAGAAAAAAGTCCCAATAATTAGATGCACACTACACGTATTAATATTCATATTTAGTTGTAGTTTTGAATTTAAATGAGACTCACGTAATGGGACAGTCTTGGGTTTGCCGTTTGTGCTGTGTTTAGGTAGCACCAGAGGAGCGAAGGACACAGAGATGATCTTCTTGGTCTCCCAGCTGTTCGTCCCGGTGCGGGTGATCTTGGTCAACTGCAGCAAATACAGTATGGTTAAATCGTAAGTCTTTATTCTGCAGTAGGGTTTTCTCTGCCCATATTATCAGTGTTCAATGTGTTCATGTGTTCCAATAAGTCAATCAATCCCACAAGAACCGTTTCAAAATATTCAGCAATGGAAAATCTGTTTTTTGATGGTGCAAATCATTTGTGCTGGGGAACGATTCTGTTTGCAACACAAGTAGTTGGCTTTTCCAGAGTTATAAGGTGCTGTCCATACAATATACCAATTATATAACAATTCCTATGAAAGCCAATAAGCTACTAACATTTCCAGACACCCGATAAAACACAGATTCAAGAAGAATTTTTTACCCACACCTTGAAGGTCCCGTATTTTACAGTGTTTTATTTGAAGTGTTGATCCATAAGAAAATATATTTGTGGTTTTAAGAACCAAAAACCATCTCAGTGCAGTTTTACATCCAGAAGCAAAATCCTGCAAGGTTGGATGGTGGGTCCAGATGGGCGGGACTTGGGGGATGGCTGAGAGCAGTGACTGTTTGGCTCGGCAATTGACCTAAAC